GCTTTTTGTAGTCTATAGCATAGCTATCGTTAGACTACCACCTGATAAGTGGACTTGGCTATCGATTACACATAGAAAGAATAAGTAGAAAAAATTGCAGGAAATAAACTTAATGGAAGAAAATTGATGAATCCAAGGACTTTTTGGAACGAAAGTTTGCCGAAGATAATGCACATTGTCGAGCTGCTTAAACTGCCCGCTCTCTTTTGTTCAACCATGGAGCTAAGTCGTTCATCATGGTGGTTCAACGAACTCGAGGGGTATAGCAGTCGTATTCCCACGTGTCCGTTACGTTGTCCGTGAATGCTTCGTGCATATTCATTCCAAACTTCATGAACGACATTTTTGTGACATTTAGTCGAAGACCACTGTTTCCACAAGTATTTTTAAAGTTCGCTATCATCCGTTCCGTTTAGATGATGCTTGGTGTCATAAAAACGATGTCATTAGCAAAGCAAAGATGGTGTGAATGTTGACCATCAACTTTTACTCTCATGTTGTCCTATTCTAATGTTATTAATACGATTTGAAGGACAGCAGTAAATAATTTTAGATAGGTGATATCGCTGTATCAAACATCTCTTTTAGCTCGGTGTTCATTACAGACACTTTCACACACTTTATTGATCCATCTTCACAGTGTTTTTTCACTTTACTGATCCCAGTATTTCCAGCATTCAATTCGTTTTTTCGTCTTCTTCTTGATCCTAGCAGAACACTGGCTGAGTATGTCTTCTTGCAATCTCGAGGATAGATTTACTGTGGTTTACCATAGGGTGTGTGTTGACTGGCGGAGAGTTGAGCGTGGAGCTCGGCTTCACGCGCTCCGCGACGAGCCTCACAACCACTCGGCACAGTATCCAATATATAGTGATGATATTCCTATTGTGAAATGCTTACAGAGTCCAAAGAATCTTTATATATTGAATAAATAGTCCTGGTTATCTAGAGCTTCTAACTTCTTCTGTCTGAACCAAGTCAGATGCTTGTCGTATTTCAGTTCAGTCAAAATCTCCAAACATAAATCTCCACAGTGACCCATAGCAATCTCGCCAGAGTTTTCGGAATCCAGTGCTCAAAATATCCCCCAAAAATGGAACCCCACCTTCTTTGTGGAGATCCATTGAAGTATGCTAAGGATTCCGAAAAGACTAACGAGCTGAAATTCGACCTTCAACTGACATTTAGTCATCCTAAACGTTTTTTTATGTTTGCTTAATGTAATATATTCCATTACGGTTTTCAAGAAAGTTACTCATGTGTTATTCTTTGTGGGGCTTTTGCGTGGCTTTATAATTTATTAATGCAATACATTGGAATTGGTCTAACGATGGTCGGTCTATATGGTCGTCTAACGATGAATAATTTGACATTAAAAAGACACGAAACCGAAAGCTGCCAGAATATTTATTACGTGAACAACAATAATATACAGCAGGATCTACGGAAACACTCTATTGATACTCTATCCAATAACAAGCGATATATACCAACATAGAAAAATAATGCTCTATGTAAGGCTTCAACTCTTACTTGCTTGTTCTTTTCTGGCTGAAAGAAAGGCAAAATAAGTGCCTCTGTTGTGCAGAGCGGGAGCCCCCGAAAAGGGAAATCGCGAGTTCGAAGCCTAACTGCGGCTCTAAGTTTTGCTCGTATCTCAACATTGACGCGGTTATATATCACATTTCACGAGAAGGCTTGTACACGGCTTACAACTCCAGCACACCATCCATTATGCGTCAATGGTGCGAAGATTGTCGACCTGCCAGTTTTACGACGAGCTTAACTGCGCGGTGGAAAAATAGGAAAGGCGGATTCCTTAGCGATCAGAAGAGCATTGGGCTCAATTCTGCCTAAACCATGCTACTGAAACTACCAATAGTGAAAATTTTCGATAATTAACCAGACTAAACTTTAATCGTCGCGGCGCGCGTGAAGCCGAGCTCCACGCCCCAACTCTCCGCCAGTCAACAACAACACCCTATGAAACACCATGGTCAATCTATCCTCGAGATTGCAATGAGACGTGCTCAACCAGTATTCTACGAGGTTCAAGAAGAAGACGAAAAAGCGAATTGAATTATAGAAGTACTGGGATCCGCATAGTGGAAAAACACTGTTAAAATGGATCAATAAAGTGTATAGAAGTGTCTGTAAAGAAAACCGAGCTAAAACGAGATGCTTGATACAGCGACATCACCTCACTAAAATTACTTACTGCCATACTTCAAATCGTAATGGTAAGATTAGAATAGGACAACATGCTAGTGAAAGTTGATCGTCCACATTCACATCACCTTTGCTTTGTTAATAACATCGTTTCTATGACACTAAGCATCACCTAAGCGGGACGATTATTGGCCAACTTTGAACATACTTGTAAAAAGACTTGTCTTCGACTAAAAATCACAGAAATGTCGTTCACGAAGAATGGAATGAATATGCAAGAGCTCTCACGGACAACGGAACGAATATCTGGAATACGACTACTATGTCTCTCGAGTTCGTCAAACAAACATAATGAACGACTTAGCTCCAGAGTTGAGCAGAAGATTTGCGTGCAGTTTGAACAACTCGACAATGTGCATAACTTCTGCAAAGTTTCATTCCAGTGGCTACTGAGGTCACAAATTTCTTCCAATAAGTTAGCTTTCTGCGATTTTTCCCACTTGATCTTCCTGTGTAAAATCGATAGCCAAGTCTATTTTGCATAAGGTGGAATGATGGCTAGGCTATAGCGATTTGCAAAAAACTGCTTTATGAGGCTGTCGTTGCTCCTGAATCTAAGAGATGTCGGGTGGAGAAAGTGCACTGATATCCCCACATGAGTAAAGCATTCACAGAGGATTCATTTCTTTACACTACAGACACAACCACTAATCCCGTGATTAAGACCCTCTCTTGTATCAATAATTATGGAGATTGCAAAGAAAGGAGCTAGCCTTTTTAAGAAAAGTGCGTAGACAACCCACTATGTTCAGTGAGCCCCTAAATGAGATAATTTGGTCTTTTCTTATGAATGAGGTACTAAATATATCATGAATTCCGTATTTACAAGAACAAAAATTTTTTGTGATACTAAAGTTGTACCTGAACCTAAGCAAACGCGAAGGTCACGCACGACATTTGTAAATGAACATGATTATACCTGATAATCATTTCTTGAGCTATGCATGTAGACTATTATGGGGTAACTCATAGAGCCCGATACACGTGTTTTCAGCGTTGACAGTCTCATCAGTTGGGCGGTACCCTTTGACTCCTATAGATTGCCTTCATAACAGATCACATGCATGGCTCATAAAGTGAATATCATGCATAATGAAAGTCGGTTTCAAGAAAACACTCGAAACGAAAGGTATGTCATATTTGAAGATACCAGCCAAGAGCAATCCAGCTCAAAACACTGTCCGTTCACTGATATTCTCACTTGATGGCACGTGTAAGAAGTTCGCCGTTGCCCATCGCTTCATAGGGCTTGGATTTCCCAGGCATGATTGGCTAAGGACGAAGGGTACCGCCCGACTGATGAGACTGTCAGAGTCAAAATACTTGTATCGGGCTCTATAAGTTGCCCTATAACAGGCCACATCCGGGGCTCAAAATTGATTATCAGGCATATTAGCATTTGAGTGTGGTCTTAAGAAAACACTCGGAACGAAACGAACATGATTATCTCTATTTCGCTTAATCTCATATTTCTTATTCAAGTCAGCTTGTAATGTGGTCTTTTTATAAACACCAATGTACAGCCCAATTTACGTGTTTTTAAAAACGGTGTAATATTTCAAAAAAAAAACAGGCTTTGAACAGTCGAGTGCACAACACTGCCGATCTAGTGGTTTTTTTTACTTGACGGCAATTGTGTGAATCGTTCGTCGTCCTCTTAGTGTGGGGGACTGGAACACCTCGAGAGGGTTGGCTAAAGACGAAGGGCTCTGCCCGACTGACAAGGCTGCTCGAGGCCGAAACACATGTATCGGGCTATACAAGAGCCTATTAACATGCCTTATGACATGTTAGCCCAATTAATAGTTAGGAGATACGTTGAAATTTAAACGGGGTCTTTTGAAAACACTCGAAACGAGCGGTGCAATATTTCATTTGATATTGTGCAGCAATTCTTTATTCTCCAGCATGAACAATGTTGCTTTTACCAGTTGGACGAGCAGTCGTTCTGCTCCGTGGAACCGTCGCTACTTTTCTCGACGAAGGCCGCGAGATCCTAAGGACAAGCAGTTAACACGCTCCATCGCGAATAGCTCATTTAAAGGGCGCGGCCGCTGCCGCTACCGTTTCCTCACCTGGGCGTAGGCCATTTCGTAATCTGTTTGACCCGCGGTCGGTCGCTGTGCCACCTTCTCTTGCGATGCCTTGATCCTGTCATTGATTGTTTCGTCCTGTTTGTACTATTTCATATCGAAACTGAAGCTCAATGCATTATAAACGGAGCTTACGACTACGGCAGTGGGCCAAGTCCTTATGGATTCTGTTTAACCCACCACCGGGAATGGGTTCCAGCCCACGGGTATATAAGCGCCCAGAATTATTCCGACGTTTGTAATCACCCACTGCCCTCCGCTCCTCGGTGTTTACGTCTTGTTCGGAACAGCCATAACTGCATCCCGTGGTCCGCCGCCTAGTCAAGCCCTGCTTTCCCAGTTCACTCTATCAGTTCACACTTATCGATCCTCACTGTTATCGGTTAACTTTATCAGTTTGCACTTAGCAATGTTACAGTATTATCGTGGTCGTGCAGTTAGGCGCCGTTACTATTGTTATGTTATTATTGTATTATTATTGTACTGACGTATATATTTTTAGATCTTATTTCATTCTCCATGATAAATTAATCCTTATTCGCGACTCTAACCGTCACAAGCCGTCAGCGGCGGCAAAACCAGTAATCGATTGGACGAAGTCCAGCTCAGTGACCGGACGAAGAAGATGCAACGACGACTCATGCCGTTCCTTCATAGGCAGTGGCCGTTGCTTCATGGGACATTGGCCGAGAATCGAACCCGGGGTCAGTCGCGTTGTAGGCGAGCATTGTACCACTGAATCACCACAGTGCTCCGTGAAACCGTTGCTACGAGAAATGTGGGTGTTAGTTTTGATTTTATTTTCATATCTTCATTTTCAACACTTTGATAATCTCTTCATGTTCAGATTTTCATTTTGTTCATTGAGTTCGAGATATATTGACAGTCTTCCCACTTATTGCATTACGATCGCCGCCCTAGAACTTCGCATATCGCTTCGCTGTGAGATGCTCCATTGGTAAAGTGCACTGGGGGCGCTGTGGCCGAGCGCTGGTGATGCTCGTTGAAGCGCGCATGGTGCTGAGCTCCACCCCTTCCCCCTTTTCTCCCTCCCCCCAGCTCTCTCCGGCAGTCAACAGCAGCATTCTATGGAACGCCATAGCCAGGCTATCGTCGAGATGACAAGGAGACACGCTCGATCAGTATTCGACGTCATTGAAGAAGAAGACGAAAAACAAATCGAATGCTAGAAGCTCTAGGCACGCAATAAAAACTGTGATGAATGGTCGTGTAAATAGAAATAAACGAATAAATAAAGTGAGACAACTAGTGGAGATTGCTTTGGAGATAGGCCTTTCCGCAATCTAGTGTTTGGTAATTGTCCTCCAACTGCGAAGCATTCTCTTTGTATTGTGCACATCGCTTTGATGAAAGTCCACTCCAATATGACAGCTCGCGCTCAAATCACAAATGCACACGTAGCGCCCCTTGAATATGGCGGATGCATAACTATTCAGGCCAATGTTTCAACTTCTGTTGTTCTTTTCCCTGAACTGAAATGATATGGAAAAAGTAATGGTGACTGCATTTATGGTAAGCCTCTCGTCAGCTTATATCTGAAATGACACCACTCTTTCTACGCTACAGCGCATCTATCTGTCAGCAACCAGCTGTCGATGATTTAGCTCAGGTAGTCGGCATCGACATTGAACCCGGTCACGCTGAGAGATATTGGACGTAGGATGATTCCCCCTCCCCCCCCCCCCCCCCTCTCTGGAGAATGAAATGTGGGTTCAAGTCACAGCTGACACAAAAAGCTCTGCAGGTCACTCTACGTCACTGGGTATATTTGAAAAAAAAAACGATTCTTACTGTTCAGACGGTAACAAATGTGTAACCGATCTCATTCGCTGGAGAAGAACTTTCATAGAGTGTTAGTAATCATTCGAAAACTGGGGCCTAAGGCTATAGCTCCTCGCCGCCGATTTTCCAAAACACCTCTTTATAACGCTTCAACATTCAAAATAAAACCGTGTTTCATAAAACGACCTATTTTTTCTTACTCGCTTATATCTCGCAGGACAAAACCTCTTCCTAAGAGTGCTAGGACCCAAACTAAAACACAAACTTCAAAGAATGTGTTTGCTTTTTACAAGGTTCTTTTTATATTTTGTTCGCTGGTCTTTCGGTTTGTGCTTGAATTTCGTCGAACAGAGCTCTTTCTATAGACTATAACAACCGTCTGATAGCGTAATGTTTCCTGATTCTAGCGATGTGCTTATTTTCTGGAAATACGCTTTAGCACGGAAAATAAGATCGGGTTTTACATTTTTGATAACTTTGTTTACAGACTAATTGACAAGGTGGAAACAGTGGTAGGGAGCGTGGCAGGGGCGGTGCGAGGCGGGTCGTCAATGTATTGTTCGGTGGGGAATTTCTGCCCCGCTCCTAAAGAAACTCCAGATAAGGCGGTTGACTAAGATACTACGAAAATTTTCATACTCATTAATATGCTTTTCGGCCTCCAGCGAATTATACGCGTGATAAAAATGAAGACGACGGGTAAGTGTGAAACATAAATTTTGATCTAGGTGCTACAACGTTATAAAGGGATGTATTGAAAAACGCAACTGAGTGTTCACTCCTAATCAGAAACAACAGAAACAACCAAAAATTTTACCTTTTTCTATTCTTTGGTCCACGCTCTTCTGCTTTCCTTTCCTTCTACTTTTCCTGAAATCAATCTCATGATAACTAATCACTAGAAGAAAGCATGTTGATTTTTTGAGGTTGAAAGAATGTCGGCATAGAAACATTTCCACGTTTTGCACTAGCTGATAATGATGCAGATGCTGCAGAATGAATTATGCGTGGAAAATCAAGTGGTTATCAGTGGACAATCACTAATATTAACCATTCTGTATGAAAGGGTACTGCCGATTGAGATTACTTCAGATGTGCGGTGCTTGACTCGGCTGCCCTCTACTCAAGCGGAGACAATTCAACTTCGTCGATAAGTCAGCAAATATCGGAACCTCTCCATGAGTTCATCAGTTACTGTCGATTTTGTTCATCGGATTTTCCAAGCCGGTGGTATGATCAGTTTGATTTTCCATTTATGTTCTTTTTCCCATATTTGATCGAACATTTGCAGTGCTAGAATGGATCAAACTGACATCGATGGCATTACGGACTCGCCGAAGCGCACGACCACTCGTGGTTCGACGAGTTAGCTATGCGGAGATGTTTGTTTTGACAAATGACGACTCAAGTTTGTCGTCAAGTCCACAAAGGTTTGGATCTCTTCTAATCATGAATTCATCAGTTTTCGTTCCTTTCTTTCGGTGACAATGATTTTTCACAATTTGTTCAGCACTCCTAATCGCAGAGAGAGACCAATTCACGATGGAGTGTTATATCCGCCGTCGGAGACTGTTGCAAGTGTCTTTGCATTGTTATGATGAAGTCTCTGTTACCCGTGCCACCTGTCTGTGACACCAATGTGAGTGTCTGAGACTTATCTTGCTTGGTTTACGAGGGGTTGGTAATGATAGATTGTAGTCAAAGTTCTGTTATCATGCCTAAGAAAAAAATTTCAACACGAGTATTTTGCGCGAAATTGAGCCCATTAGAAAGCTCGTTCTCTTGTGTATCGAGCGATATATGATTCGTCTACACAGCAATCGGAATGGAATTGTCCAAGAAGGAATTTCACCTGCAGCTCCACTTCCACTGCAGTTAGTGTCAACGCTTCTGGGCTTCATCGACAAATCTGAAAGGCGTATAGCGACGGATTTTTCGATGTTCGTGCAACTTAGCCTTGGTTCAAAACAGTCCCCGAAGAAGGGGACCGATTGACGGATAAGCAAAGAGAGGGACAAAAGTGTCAATTAGTTCACAAATAAATCCATTTTATGCTTTTGAAAACACGACAGAACTTTTTCTGCAACCTATTGATGTAGGATAAGTAGTTAAATGACTTACGTTTCGGCGACTTCTCCTTTCTCGGAGCGTGGGCTCATTTCGTCCTGGACTGTTTATACAGGAACATCACATGAAGCTCCTATAAAAAGCATTGAGAATTCACAAAATTGTTTTAAAAAGGTGGAGTTTTCATTGTCCAGCAAGTTCTGCGAAATAAGATGCTATCTCCTAGTGAAGAATTATTCACGCCAAAATTAGCCGAGTGTTTCTGAAAAGTTCGTAATTTCACGCCAATTTCACGCTTCTAAATGCATATTACTCGAATATCGTTTCCACTTGATCATGCAACGTCAATATCCTGGTGTTTTGTCAATAAATGAGCACGATGACATGGTGCCTTAACAGCTGATTGGAGAAGTCATATGACATCACCGAAAACTGTTAATCCTCCATAGTTATTATTGTTCGATCTATTACTAAGCTTTCATGATATCGTTGCGTAGGTTCAATTTAGCTATGTTTCTGTCCCATTGTGATATTCGGAGTTGTAGTAATTCTAGTAGAGTGTCCACAGCAGTTTCTATTTCTTGCCAAGCGATTTTTCGTAGTCGTCACAACTATCTGAATCAGTTGGAGTGGAGGAGTGCACAGATGAGTAGTGTCATTCTAGGTGGCATTCTGTGCAGGATAGTTCTTGTTGCTTCAGTGAGCTGATCGCAACCCAGCAGTTGCACAAGATAGAAGACGGGTCTTTATTTAGTATAATCCAAAATAGTTCTCGTGATCCATCTGTTCATCTTGTCACAGTCAAGACAGGATTAACTGCTATAGGATAAAGCATTCTCTGAACACCAACTTTTGTTCATGCAGTGTAATTCTTGAAATTCAGCTTTGTAGTTCTAATTTAGGCACTTCGTCTACTCCACAAGGCTAAAATCTCAGTGCAGCGACCTTTAGTTTGGATCAATAACGTTCACCGATCTCGTTTGAAGTTTATACAGTAAGTCTCTTCAGATGTTGGAAATTTAGTCTCTTCAGATATTGAAGACTGTATCCCTACTGGTAATTACGACTGCATGGTTTAGGAAGAAATGACATCCTGCTCTACTAATGGGTCCGCCTTTGCACCATACAACTGAGCTGATCGTAAAATCGGCAGGTCAACAATTATCACTAAAACTATTAGGATGGTGAGCTGGAGTTGAAGACCATTGTGGAGAAGCTTCAACATGAAATGTGATATAAAACTGCAGCAATGCTGAGATACGAGCAAAACTCAGAACCGCAGTCAGGCGTGGAACTCGCGAATACCCTTTTTGGGAGCTCACGCTCTACACCACCAAAACCTTTGCATTGCCTTTCTTTCATTTATCATTGTTATTTGCGTAATAAACATTTCGGTAATATTTATGTATTGCAAAAGTCACAAAATCACAGGAAAAAGTTGAAAGGTGGATTAGAATTGGGTTTCTTTGCACACATGGGTAGATTACGTGTTGAATTGCAATTAAATTACATCAAGCAAACATTCAATAAGTAGTTTAGGATAATTGAAAGTCTGAAAGGTTGAATTTCAACTTGTTAGCCTTTACAAATTACTTGACATCCTGGCAGGCCTTCATAAAAAGAGGGGGTGCCAGGAATTTCATATACTGCTAACATGGCATGACTTTTCAAAGGAAATCTGAAAATTCTGTGCAAGATTGTTAACAGATCATTTAGCCAAATCGCTGCTCTGAAATTTTGATAAGCTGGAAGTACGGAGGATTTCTAGCTCAGATGAGGCAGAGGTAGTTATAGAAGTCCTGGATAGCCAGAACATACCTTTCCAGTACATGAAGATTCTTTTAGCTGTATGGAGATTTAGGACCAGAATATGTCATTCCAT